GAAGCACCGTCAGTTTGGCTGCCAAGCTGTCATTACACATCAGTAACTCTGTGTGTCTATGTCTGAGGTCTGTATACCTACATCTCATACATACCATAATGCACACAGTACTCTCCCCTGATTCCTGGGGGATATGCTCCAAGACCCCCAGTGGATAACTAAAACCACAGATAATACTGAACCCTATATACATTGTTTTTTCTGCACAATTGTTATTATACATGCATATCTATGATAAAGTTTAATCTATAAATTAAGCACAGAAAGAGACTAACATCAATAGCTAACACTAAAATAGAACAATCATAACAATATACTGGCATCACGAGTCTTCACTTTGGAGTTTATTAAGTAAAAGAAACGTAACTTGAATACAAGCACTGAAATACTGCAATGGTTGATCCGATAATGGAGATGAGGACTAAGTGATGGAGGGCGGGTCAGAACAGATGGCATGGAGACGCTGGGCAGGGGATGACTGACGTCCTGGGCTGGCTGGAGTTTGCTCGATGAGGTTTCAGAACGGTGGGTAGTCTGAAACTTATGAACTGTTTACTTCTGGAATATTCCATTTCATATTTTTGGACCTCAGATGACCTTGGGTAACTGAAGCTACAGAAAACAAAGCCACAGATACAGAGGGAACTCCTGTACTTATCGTGACTGTATGCTAAATATTGTTATCATGTTACTATGCGGTTGGCATGGAGAAAGGTGAACATCTAGAAAGATAAATGAAAGAAATTTACCAGTTTTAAAGGACAGAGCCTAAGAAACTAGCAGAGCCCAAATAGAGATTTTTTAAAAAGTAAAGCCCATATTCCTTGACTACTGGCGCTGATGAACGAGCATCAGTTTGAGTCTTGCTGCCGTGTGGGATTTTACACTATAATTTCTCTTTCTCTTTTGGTGCCAAGGTCCTAGTGAAGCATCGGAGACCACACTGTGTCCACACAACCACTCCCCCAGCAGGATCTCGCCACAGTGGGTTGGCATTTCTCAGTAATTCACAACTTCAAGTGTTTGGGGATTCTATTATGGGACCAAGGAGAATGATACATTCAAGTCTACCTTGTTTTACTGGCACACTGCTTTAGAGAAATAGCAGACCATACCTCATGGCCAGATCAGTCAATTCTACCTTATTTAAACATGGGAGGATGTTGAACAAATTGAAAATTATGAATGGAGAACTCACAAGTCTCAAGTAGAAAGAACATTAGCATTTTTAAATTCATTTCTGTAGTAATTTGATTTCCTTTATTGTATTAAAAATTTCTTTTGAAAATAGGTGTGTGTATACTTTTACGTAATTACAAGTAGCTGCTATTTTTCCATTAATTTATCTGTTTCTCTGACTTCCCTCAGATATATTCTCTCCATAAAAAAAAAAATCATGTGCAGAAAGTTACTGGAAGGTTGGATTTGAACAAAAAAAAATGATTGGGCACCATTCTGCGTGTCAAGGAACATAGCAGAAACTCAAATGTTTATAGGAGTTGTAGCAACTTACATTTTTTTTTTCTTTTGATTTCAGGGCATCTGTCACAATCCTAAATGTTCTCTAGAAAAATGAGTTATTTTTTAAGAACCAAGGATTTAATGTGGATAAATTTTCTTACTCTCAAGACAGCTGTTGAGATACTGAAGGACACAAGTCTTTGGCCGGAAACCATTCTGGAGGGTGTGGAGGGTGGAGGTCTGTCGGGTCTTATCCTCAGGTGGATCCCTCTCTACTCTCACGGCAAGCACACAGGACCGCTGTACTCAGCTGAGGATGAGTTGCATCCGACTGGGTCCCAGAAAGAATAGTCACAAGGAAACAAGTCTAATTTTCTCTCTCACTCTCCCTCCAAATCAAAATCCCACTTCTGGAAAACAAGCCGCTCACGCCCACATCTATTAGAGAGCCACATAATTCAGATTGAGCTGCCCTGACATGAAAGTGTTTTCAGAAGTTAAACTACAGAAGGGCTATTGCTGCCTCATATGCATTTTCTGATTTATAATGAGAATAGGAGTCCAGTTACATGTGCACTTGCAGCTTCCCTTTTTCTCCTCTCTCCAATCCACAAACACAGTATGCCCAGACTTAAAATGTGGGGAGTTTCCTTTGACTTTCCCTTTTTCTGAGCTCACCTTTTGTATTTGATTGACAAGTACTCTTGACTTGTCTCTGATGTGCCTTTCATCCACCCTTTCCTTTTCACTCTTGTTGCCTGGACCCAGTCCAGGTTTTCTTATGTTCTCTTGCCATCGTGTCTTAATTGGGCTTCTGCTGCTGTCTGCTGCTGTCTGCTGCTGTCTGCTGCTGTCTGCTGCTGTCTGCACCTGATCCAATGCATTCTGCGCTTCACTGATCCCAGCAACATGTGATGATGCTACTTTGTAGTTTAAAGATTGTAGCACCTCCAGTGCCTATTTGTTAATAATAATTTCCAAATGTCTTGGCTTCATGTTTAAGAACCTACAAGTTCAAGCCCCAGACTACCTTGCTAGCTTTGTCACCCACCTTCTCAATGTTCTTTAACCACTTTGGACTCTCTCACTTATCAACACACACACACACACTTTTTCTTGATCACATTTGGAGCTCTCTGCTCATGGCACCTCCAGACTTCCCCTCCTGGGGTACCTGATTATCCTAATTGCATGGGGCAGGTACAGTACACACCAACTGTCCTAGAGTGACCGTTAACAGTGCTGCTCCCTCCTACTCTCAGGAGGGCCTCAGGGTGGATTTCCACCCCATCTTGTAAGTCCCAATCTTCAAATCCCCTTAAATGTCACCTCCTTTATGAAGTTTTCATCTAGAAGAGCTCCCTGCCATCTCTGTGGACCTACAGAACATTTGTGCATATATATGGAAGGCACCTATATTCCATCTATTATAAACTAGACCTGGGGCAACAAACTATAATCCACAGGCCGAATTTGGTATGTTGCCTGTTTCTGTGTAGACTATGAGCTAGAAGTAGTTTCCACATCTTTCCTTTTTTTGGTAGAAACAAGATTGTGCTCAGTCATTAAGGCTGGAGTGCAATGACATAGTCATAGGTCACTGCAACCTCAAACTCCTAAGCTCAAGCTATCTTCCTGTCTTGGCCTCCAAAGAGTTGGGATTATAGGCATGAGCCTCAGTACCCAGTCAGTTTTTATATTTTTATGTCACTTTCAAAATCAAAAGAAAAGTAATATTTTGTAACACATGAAAATTATACAAAATTCAAATTTCAGAGTCTGTAAATAAAGGTTTTTGGAAAATAGTAATAGTCATGCATATACTGCTTATACATAACATATTGTCTAAATA